CTGCGCTGAAAGCATTCGCCAAAAACAAGGCTCCGGGAATTGAGTCAAATTGAATCCAATCGAAATTTTTTAACAAACGGGTAAAGCAATGCGGGACTCATTCGTCTGTGCTAGGAAATTCGGAAGACAGCAACTTGGCCAGCTGACTGGAAAAGATCCATGTCTGTGCCCATTCCAAAGAAAGGTGTCCCAACAATCTACACAAATTATAGAACAATATCACTCATATCACATGCACATAAGCTTTTGCTGAAGGTCAGCCAACAACAGTTGCAGCAGTACATTGACAGGGAGCTGCCAGAAGTTACCATGTCGATAAAACACAAGTTAATATATTTTCGGTATTCTCTGCTTCCAGCCAAGATCCATCTAGCAACGATATCCCTGTCCCATGTCCTATTCTGAATCCAGCCTGAACTTCTGTGAGTGAAGATTCTTGGATTCAAAAATGGTGGATGTAATTTTGACCATCCTTTAAGTTAACCAGTATAAATAACTGAATGCACAGTATCCCCAGAAGATAAATCTGCCCTGGTGGCATGATTGGTTAAGCATTGGACTGCTAACTTTAAAGTCAGCTATTCAAACCCATTAGCACTCCAAGGGAGAAAGATGAGGCTATCTATACCTGTAATGATTTCCAGTCTCAGAAACCTTAAAGTACACTCCTACTTGGCCCTACAGGGTTTGCAATTAATCAGAATCGACTTGAGGGCAATGGGTTTGGGTTTATGTGTTAGTCCAGGTAGACTAGGGAAACACTCATATGTGAATAGGAAAGAGCTTTGTATACAAGAGCAGTTGAATATTGAGAAAACATATCCCAGCCCAAATCCAGATCAAGTCCATAAGTCCAATGTTAGCCCATATGTTTGATACCAATCTGTTAAATCCTCTTCAGACTCACGCAACACGTGACCTGGTTGACGGACTAGACTCCACCCCTTCATTCTTAATCCTCTCAAATTGACAACAGGCTATAGCTACCACAGTTTGGCTTTCCAGCAGATAAAAACCAAAATACACTGCCACCGAATGGATTCCAACTCCTAGCCACTCTGTAGAGCTGGGTAGAACTGGCCTGTGCGTTTCCCAGACTGTAGCTCTTTATGGGAGTAGAAAGCTGCTGCTTTCTCGGTCGGTGGTTTCAAACTGCTCGCCTTCCGCTTAGCAGCCCAAATTGTAACACACTCTGCCACCAGGTCTCCTACTTTGAGAAGACAGGTTGTCCTTAAAGCAAGAGATTCTAGAGTTTTTCATTAAGAGAGTCTCCATTGCTTCTAGTATTGATTAATAATAGTTTGTTAAATGTTCACAGAGTGTTGGTAGATAAAACTTATTTGGAAAAAAGTAACTATATATAACGCCCCCAAGAAACTGACATGGCCTGTGTCCGAATGAGCAGAAGTAAAAGAAATCATTTTAGTCACCCATTTTGTTATACTTAGAATTCAGAGGGACTGATTTATAATAGAAGCGTTGAATAGCTAGGATTTTTAGAGATTATTTAACAGGGCAAATTACCGACAATTGATAGTCAGCATTTTTCCTTTCCATTTTCCATAAAGAAAAGCCTGAAATCAAGCCACTTTTCCAGAGGGCAATGTACTAGGGCTTCAGATAAATCCATTTAGGCTGATAAAGGTAGCCTTCAACGTAGCCTCAGTCGTCTTGGACCATTGTGGAATTCTAAAACCAGATTCTAAGAAATGATTAGAAGCCATAAAGAACAAAATAGATGCAGGAGATAATTTCAGAAAAGACATCTTCATCTGCTGAAGGAATTATAATTTGCCGATGAATAAGGCACCCAGCCCCATTGACTCACCTGATGAGGATAAATCACTGCTCTGTAAGATAAGAGGAATGCAGATTGCCTATTAGGAGCTTGGAGGAATGGAGCAAACCATTATGGGGAAGAGCGAATGCAGAGTGCAGAATGCTCGGGATGCTGATGAGAGGCAATTATGGTAAAAAGCCTTCCAAAGTAAAATGACCTGCTGTAGACTGCAGTGGTCCCAGTGCCCAGTGGTGAGGAGGCAGGACCTGGGAACTTGGGGTTTGAGTCCTGGCTCTGCTACTAACTTAGCATGTACCCTTGTATACTCTATCTTTTTGAACTTCAGTGTCCTTTTTTGTAAAATGATGAAATCTTTTTTTTTTTAATGCCCAGCATGCATCTGCTATTGTGTCTTACTGTGGTCACTTGAGTGTTGCTCTGATGCAGGACGCTCACCCGTGGTGTGTGGGCTTCAGGGGAGCTTCCTGACTGAAATAGACCTGGAAGGGGGGTGGGGCAGAAAGGGAAAGAAGGTGAAGGAATGGGCTAGAGTATTGGCGGGTGTTAACTTGGTGAAAATGGACATAGTAGTCCACAGAGGAGAAGGGAACTCATGGAGCAGGTGCAGGGGTAAACTATTGGGGGGAGTCAATAGTCATTTAAACAGTTGAATACCAAGTTAGTGATCTTAAATGTAAACCCCCACCTAATTTATCATTTTAAAAGTGTTAATAAAACAAACCAGAAAACGGGGAGGGAGGGGAAAAATGAGGACCTAATGTCGGGGGTTTAAATGGAGAGAAAATGTTTTGAGAAATGATGTACAAATACGCTTTACACAATTGATGTGTGTATGGATTGGGATAACAGTTGTATGAGCCCCTAATAAAATGTTTAAAAAAAACACAAAAAAACAAAAAAAAAAACAAACCAGAAATAAAGGCATGACAATCTCCTAAAAGTTACTGACCCAAAAATTCACTGCCACCGAGTCAGCTCTGACTCGCAGGGAGCCTATGTAAGGTTTCTGAGGCTGTAAATCTCTATGGGAGCAAAGACAGCCTCAGTTTTCTCCCACGAGCCTCTGGGAGGTTTGATCCGCTGACCTTGTGGTTAGTAGTCCAACACTTAATCAGATGGCACCACCAGGCCCAGTGGAAACCCTGTGGATCACACCAGACTATAGCCCTACAAGCTGAGTCCCTTCGGTTGGTAGGTGCTCAGCAAACCCTGCAGCCATGCCCACAGGTAGTCTTTTGTCCTGTTGGACCAGGGTCATCATGCCCCCGTGGTGGTGTGAACTCAACAATACATTTAGAATGCCTCTTTGATGGCTGCCCCAGCGATGTACTCCTTTCAGATCTTTCTGTATGGGATCAAAATGACAGCAGCCGCTAACTCAAAGAATGAGCCGGAAACGGTTTATGTTCGTGGGAGAACAACTGAAAGGTGGAGCGGGGAAAGGGTTGCACGTTTGAAGCGTGTGATCCGTGCCACGGCATTGTACTTCCCAGCAGGGGTTCAATTGGCCTTTGTTTTCCTCGGCATCCTAACAGTAAAACTAATGATTAGAAATTATCTTTCAAGTGAATAACAGCCTTTAAGGCACATAAGAGTGAGGCAAGGTACGTAGTAGTCGTAAGACCCGCCCCTCTTCCTCTGCGCATCTGCTCGGCATCCCCTCATAAGTGGCCGAGAAGAATGGCTCCCCACTTGTGGATGACGGTCATCTTCCAGAAGCAAGTCACCAGGCCTTTAGCTTCCCGATGCCTGCCCATGACCTTTGTCCTCCCCTGGGGATCATGTTCTCCGTAGGTAGAGACCAATCGTTGTGTCCAATGTGTCTCTCCTTACAGGCTGGAGATGTAATAACAGAGCTGGAATCCGTGGATGAGGAGTGGATGAGTGGAGAACTCCTGGGAAAATCGGGTATATTCCCCAAAAACTATATTCAGTTTCTGCAAGTCAGCTCAGGCTGACGCTTCGCTGTTGTTCCTTGGCACAATAACTCACTTGAACTACCACTTTGACGATCAGATTTGTTTTTGCACTATTTGTTTTTTAACAGAAAGAGGAAAAAAATATGCTGTACACGGTGTACTAGAATCTTCTGAAAGCAGAAAATGTGTAGTGTGTGTATTTAGCTTTCGTTCACAGTAGAAATATGCACATGGAAGCCGTGAGCCAAGGATTGTCCCAAGGAAAACAGCAAGCGAGCGGGATGGACGCTCAGATCCCCTGCTCCTCACTGCACTCCACCGCAGACTCACCTGGAGACATGGCAGCCAGGAGAGGCATACGCAGAGCATTGCACCTGGACATCTATTCTACTCAGCACACGGAAATTAACCTTGCTTCTTCCTTTTCTAACTTGCGTTTTACAAAGAGGATGTTGACATTCTGCATGCTGTAACTATCAGGACATGGCTGTTGATCTCAGTGGCATTTTTTATATTCTCATGAATTCTAAGATCGTGAGCGCGTATCCTGATGCTCAGGACAAAGCCTTGCTTCCGGAAGGGGTCCCGTATGGACTAGTCGCAGTGTTTGGAAGCACCTGCTGAAGCTCAGCACATGTCCACCAGCTCCTCTTCATGGACCCTGTTTCCCATTTATCGGAGGACTGGGGGTGGGGGTGGGCATCAAAATTTGGTCTGTTTTACTTAGTCAAAAGGCCCAAAGCCATCCCTGAATTGCCTTGCTAATCCAACTAACCCTCCCACATGCCCGCCACATTTATTTCTCTCCTCGATGTATACTTTATGTTAACAGGGCTCTTGCCACGCACATCTTCTGAATCTGCAATCATTCCTTTGACAATTACTGTTACCCCAGTAATGTATGAAAGCTGTGTCTTTTTATAGTAGTGCATTATGAATCGTATATAAAATTTTAGAATGCAGGAGTCAGGCCAACCCACAGCTCCCTTCTTCCAGTATAATCAGAACGAGAAATCATTTCAGACGACCTGAAGGCTAGGCCTTTCTTTTCGCTCCTTCTTTTCTTTCCTCTCTCGTTTTTAAACAGTCCGTCCCTGCACAATTACTAGAGTAAATTAAAAAACCACTTTCCTGCAACCGTTGTTATGTACTCCCGGCTTAAAATAAAAAGTGGTCTTTTCGTGACTGAATCAATTACAGTTTATGGGCTAAAAGCCAAATAGGTCGAAGACAATCTTCCACACAAATCAATGGAATAGAATTTCATTGGAGACAGAAAACACTCTCCCAACTGCGCTCACGACTTCCTTCTGCTCTTGAGAAGTGTTTCAGGTGCTGGGACCCTTTCGCTTCTGCCGTTGTTCCACTTTCCCAAAAGTGAGACAGCATCACCAGCTCCACGGCTCCTCCAGGGAGGTCGTGTGTTCTCGGCCTTTGATGAAAGCTCAGCTCCCAGTTCCATGGTTACATTTGGTCTTGACTTGTGAGAGCCCAGTTTTCTTCCTGGCTCAGATTAAGCTGATGAGATAAGGAAGCTCTCACCAAATTTCACTCCACAGTCGATTTTCGCCCACAAGAAATAAAATCTGCTGTGTAAGTGAAAACAAGATGGAGGGGTGTGATTTGGGACATAAGGTATGTATTTTTGTTTGTGTGATTGTAATTAATCCCTTGGAGATTCTGAACACCTAGCTCTTAGATGTTGGCCTTCAGACTGATCAGGGCAATAGTTGTGAATCTACTTGACACGATAATAAACAGAGCCGTCCTTTTCAAAAGTCCTTGCTCGGAAAGGACTAGACTGAGTTGTTTGTTTTGATAATGGGAACCGTCTTATCTTTGTCTCTCCTGTTCTGATAAAGGTGGCTGGGTGGGTTGGCTGGTTGCATGGATGCATGGATGGAGCGATTGAAAAAAGCCAGTGGATCAGAAGAGGGAGAAGTCACTCTCAATAAAGCCACGACTACCTTCAGCCCACTCACTCTTTCCTCACTAACTCGTTGACAACCATCTCTCTCTGGAAAGAAAAGTCCCGTCCTTTTGTTTGTTTGTTTGTTTGTTTATGTTTGAAGTGAACTCTGTGTCACTAAAGCTGCCAAGGCCACTTTTCACTGCTCCTCCCTTTTGCGTCCCTCAGACCAATGTTTACATACACGGGTTATAGAATCTGGAGGTAAAATTCCCTGGCTTCTCAGATGTCATTCCCTTTGCCATGCTCTGTGTTGTACACATTTGTTACACACTCAACTGACAGAAAGCTGAAATGTAGTTCAACACTTACCCCATTCAAGGTCATGATTGAATTCGAGGCAAGATTCAGTTCGGTTAAAGCAGAAGCCTCACCACCACCACCCGCCCCCAGAATGCCTTGTTTCAGGAGTTTTCATGAAAATCTGGTAAATCTGGTGTCTATGTAAATCTCTTTCTGATTCCTTTTCCTTCATTGGGTTTAACTGGAGAATGTGATCGATATCAGAGGTGCTTCACAAAGTTAGTAGAGAACATGGGATTTCTCCATGAACTTGGGAGGCCCCTTTTGCATGCCAACCCACAGCCTACTGCCATCGGGTCAGTTCTAACGCCGAGGGACACTGAGGGTCAGCAGATTGCTTTGAAGATGCCCTTGTTTACAGGATCGAATGGATGCCAGAGGAGTGACTGATTTGTGCTCATGGAAATACAGTCTGAAATACTCAGTACAAAAAATATCAGTGCATTTATCGTCATTATTTGAAGAGGCATTTGAAAAATAAAAACATTTTGTTACAGGGCTAGGCTTTCTACTCCCATAAAGATTTACAGTGCTGAAACCCACAGAAGCAGTCCTGCCTACCCTGCCCCACAGGGTCACTGTGAGTCAGAACTGCCTGGATGGCAGGGAGTTTGGCTTGTTTTTGTTTGTAAGTTGTAAATCGGTATTCTTAATAATTATGTAGTTTGTCTTCCCATTCAAACGTAGATAAATATACTTAGAGAAAACAGTGTTGGGTATTATAGGCTAATTCACTTCAGTACAATCATTAATAGTTTATTCCTTTTAATTAATGCCAGATTCAGTGCCATATGATTAATAATTCAGTGCCATTTTGAAGGCTAGTGAATTAACTCTTAAATATGAATTTTTTTCAAAATTAATGGGAAATTATTTTCTAACCTAAGCCTTTTCAAGTCACCGTTGACAGGAGGATGCAAAATACAACGCTGAATTCAGAACAACAGCACCATCTGGTGGCCATTTGACTAATTGCATGTTAATCTTCACGTTAAACCACATGGAGATGTAGAGATTTTAGCTTGCAGGGAATAAACTACTTGCCTAAACTCGTGTACACAGAGGGCAGAGGTGGTTCAGTGGTAGAATTCTCAGCTCCCATGTGGGGTACCCGGGCTCAATTCCGACAGAAGCTCCCCAAGCACAGCCACCACCTGTTTGTCAGGGCAGCCTTACATGTTGATTTGATGCTGGTCAGTTTCCAAGCACTAGAAAGAAGGGTTTGGCTTTCTAGAAAGAAAAACCTAACCGTCTACTCCCCAAAACCATCTAGTGAAAACCTCATACAAAAACAAACTCATCAAGTCCATTCTGACATGATACAAACTTACAGGACAGGGCCCGTCTGCCCCTGTGGGTTTCTGAGACTGAATCTTTACAGGGATAGAAAGCCTCATCTTTCTCCCACAGAGCGGTTTTGAATGGCTGACCTCATGGTTGGCAGCCCAGTGTAAACACGATGCCACCAGAGCTCCTTAGTGAAAACCCCATAGATAGTCATATATATAACCACTCAGGCCTAGGAACAGTTGTGAGGATGGCACAGGACCCTGTTTTTGCTCTGTTGTGCAGAGTGCCACATGAGTTGGAATCAACTCGATGGCACCTAACAACAACAGCATAATAAAAGCCATTTCATGTCCTTCACAGATGGAGCCAGGCACCTCGTGGGCATGGTGGTCTGGGTCTGAAGCATCAGGACCATCGCCTCACGGGACAGCTTGGTCAGAGGGTATACTATAGTGCATAAAGTTAGGTTCTATCTCCCCTCAGGGCAAGAATACTTTCTTCTATGAAATTGGCATTCTATGATGCTACCTTTCCCGACACAACCACTGAAGACAAAGCGGGTGAATAAGCAAATGTGGTGAAGAAAGCTGATGGTGCTTGGCTATAAAAAGATATAGCATCTGGGGTCTTAAAGGCTTGAAGGTAAACAAGCGGCCATCTAGTTCAGAAGCAACAAAGCCCACATGGAAGAAGCACACCAGCCTGTGCGATCACGAGGTGTCAAAGGGATCAGGTATAAGGCATCAAAGAACAAAAAATCATATCATTGTGTGCTCACCTCCATGATATGATCGCTGAAGACAAATGGGTGCATAAACAAATGTGGTGAAGAAAGCTGATGGTGCTTGGCTATAAAAAGATATAGCGTCTGGGGTCTTAAAGGCTTGAAGGTAAACAAGCGGCCATCTAGTTCAGAAGCAACAAAGCCCACATGGAAGAAGCACACCGGTCTGTGCGATCACGAGGTGTTGAAGGGATCAGGTATAAGACATCATCAGAACAAAAAATTTTACCATAGTGAATGAGGGGGCCAGTGCGGAGTGGAGACCCAAAACCTATTTGTAGGCCACTGGAGATCCCCTGGCAGAGGGGTCTTGGGGAGGAGATGAGCCAGTCAGGGTGTGATATAGCTATGATGAAAAATACAACTTTCCTCTAGTTCCTAAATGCTTCCTCACTGCCCCCACCCCCACCCCCCCAACTATCATGATCCGAATTCTACCTTGCAAGTCTGGCTAGATCAGAGGATGTACACTGGTACAGATAGGAACTGGAAACACAGGGAATACAGTACAGGGCGGATGATTCCTTCAGGACCAGTGGTATGAGTGGCGATACGGGAGGGTAGAGGGAGGGTGAGTTAGAAAGGGGGAACCGATTACAAGGATCTACATGTGACCTCCTCCCTGGGGGACAGACAATTAAAAAGTGGGTGAAGGGAGATGTCGGACAGGGCAAGATATGACAAAGTAATAATTTCTAAAAATCAAGGGTTCATGAGGGAGGGGAAAAATGAGGAGCTGATGCCAGGGGCTTAAGTGGAGAGCAAATGTTTTGAGAATGATGAGGGCAATGAATGTACAAATGTGCTTGACATAATAGATGGATTGTGATAAGAGTTGTATGAGCCCCTAATAAAAGGATAAAATAAAAAAAGGTAGGGTCCATCTCCTAGTTTGGTGAGTAGCATGTAGGGTCTTTTTTTTTTTTTCCTTTTAATCATTTGGCCATAGAGAGAAATAAAGCTCTGGTACATGCTACTACATGGATGAGTTTTGAAAACATTTAAATAGATCAGACACAAATGGACAAATTTATGTACGACCACAATAATATGAAATAACTAGAAAGGGAAATGCATGGAGATAAATGTCTATTAATACTTACCAGGGCCTGTGGGAGCAGGGTTGGGTGAAGTTTATTATTTAAGGAGTACTGAGTTTGGGATGATGGAAAACTTTTGGAAACAGATAATGGTAATGGTTGTATGATACGGTGAATGTAAATGTCTTTAACTTAAAAATGGTTGAAATGTTCATTTGTTACATATTCTTTTTCTTTTTTAAACAGTTTTATCAACACTTCACCCACATGACATACAATTTAATAATTCCATCTTATCAACAAGAGTTGTACAATTGTCACCACGCTCAATTCTAGAACAGATTCTTCTTCCTTGTGCTCATTGTTGTATAATTGTGACCAAAATGTACACAACAAAACATTCTCCAATTCCGTAACTTCTACATGTATAATTCAGTGCCATTGATTATACTCTTCTTGTTGTACAATCATATTGAGATCCTTTGCCAAATCACTCCATCCCCAATAACATAAACTCAAGGCCCCTGAGCAACACCTTTTTCTATGTCGCCCATGGGATGTTTGTCAGGTTTGGTTTCTGGGGTTTTTTAAATCATTTTACTGGGGACTCTTACAACTCTTATCACAACCATACATCTACTGTGTCAAGCACATTTGTACATATGCTGCCATCATGCTTTTCAAGGCGTTTTCTTTCTACTCAAGCTCTTGGTATCAGCTCATTTCCCCCCTTTCTCTCATGAGCCTTGTTAATTTATAAATTATGTTCATATCTTGCACGGACTGCTGTCACCCTTCACCCATGTTTGTTGTTCGTCCCCCTTGTGTCGGGCAGTTGTATGTCAACCATTGTGATCAGTGCCCCCTTCCTCCTTTCACCTTTCCCCTACCCTCGGGGTACTGCTACTCCCATTATTGTTCCTGAGGAGTTTATCTGTCCTGATTCCTTGTGTCAGCTCTTATTGGTACCAGTGTACATTGGTCTAGCTGGATTTGTAAGAGAATTGTGGTCATGATAGTGGGGGAGGAAGCATTAAAGAATGTTAGTCCGGGTAGACTAGAGAAACAAATCCATGGGCACACATATGTGTATAAGAAAGAGATTTATATGCAAGAGCAATTGAACATTGAGAAAACAGCCCAGTCCAGATCAAGTCCATGCGTCTGATATTAGTCCATATGTCTGATACCAATCTATCAAGTCCTCTTCAGACTCACGAAACACATGGAATGACGCCGAATGTAGATCACAGGCTAGTGGGTAGAAAGCCTTTGGATCCAGTGTCATTGGAAATATCTCAGCTCTGGCAGGGGTCTCTCATCAGGGTGGGTCCATGTGTATTGTCAGCTGCTATGTCTCCCAGGGTATGAACAATCTCCCATCTCCAAGGAGGA